TCACATGTTTCACGGAGATGCTATGACTCGTCTCCTGTGCCCCAAGACAACACGCGAGACCCAGATTCATTTGTTTGGAATCTAGATGATAGTGTTGTCTATTTCTGGAACAGCGGTGTGATTCTCTTATAAAAGCCGGTATTCAACTGCCTAACTGATCAAAAAACAACCGACCTTTTAAATACTTGTTAAATCTTTCAACTACACTACTATTTTCTGTGCATAATTGAACGCAAGAGGCATTCTGTCCTTACCTAGGCAAACTATCACTCTTCCGATGTTCCTTTGCCCCGTCATTACATTATGATCTCGCGCTTCCACGTCATCTCGCGATTTTCACAAAATCACACCAATTAGTTTCGTTTTCCTTTTGAAAACTAATCCCGCACTCGATGCGCGGCGTACTTGTCATTCAATTAGGCTTTTTAAAAATACCTGGCTATCGTTGATTAATACTGCCTGTCGTTGAAAACAAATAAGGAATCAATAGATTGGTGTCTGCGTCTTACAAATGGGGATTTGTCATGATTTGTGTGCACCGCCATTTAGACTTTGTGCCTTTTGGTCTACGTTAGAGATATAGGGATTTGCATATGCCTGATTTGCATTTGCGACGCTGTACCCCTGGCAGAATGCGCACTGGATTCATTAAAATATTATTGAGGAATCACTCATGCCCTATCGATGTTGCCAATATATTCTTTTGTTTAAATTTAGCCTGCTTTTGCACCATGCAAAGCAAGTGCTTTCAGTTTCTGTCTGGCAATATTTTTACCGTTTAAGCTTCGGTCAAGTGGTTTGTTTTTTTCAGCAAATATGAAACGCCACTATACTTCGTCTGTAATTAAATATTGTAACCGTCTGTCTACCTTTACCGAGGCTATCTAGGCCGATCACTACCATTAAACCTGTTCAAAGCCCCAAACGAATGGGCTGTGGTCAAACCGTGGACCTGGTTTACATAATATCCATCTGCTAGCAATCAAGGCTAATTAATTATTGGGTAATTTTTGGATTTTTAATGTTATCCTTCTATCTTACCCAAATATATGACAGTTTTTAGTACTTTAAAATTAATCCTCGGGCTCTAAATTACCTTGTACTTCTCGGAAGTTAACACCGGACTCAAATAAAGCACCGGATCTTACCAAGCCGTCATTACTACTACACCTTAGAAATCAGCGCTGTTTTTATCAGGATAATGTCTTAGTATCCAAAGCGCTGGTGGTGTTAATCAGCAAGAAGTCCGACTAGATCTTAGCTCACGGTCCGCTGGGCTCAATGTGGCACGGCGCCTGATCTCTCTCCTATCAGCTTTTCCACGCAAAATTTTGTTATTCTTTGATTCCACAAATATCGATTCGAGGCAACTAAGAACTCTTTTTTAATGATTTAAAACATATCTCAAGTAAAAACTACGGATCAAAGAATATAAAGTTTTTTTCCATTATTCATTGACGTCTAGGTGGAATGCACGCGGTCAGTCCTTTATCGATGAAAGTCAATCCACACGCTTCGGGCCGACAACGATATACCACGGAACAACCACCTTGTGGCTCTCAGGTGCGTTAATAAGCACGAGAACTCACGTCTTTATCACTTCTTATAAGCCGTTGTTACTTTTCAGGAAGTGACCACAATGGAACTTCCCATGCCTTTTTTCAATCCATCATCTATGTAAGTGACGTTCAACGCACCTTTGTGTCTGGTATTTTACTCTACCATTTGCTACATTCCTTGGCATGTCGCATAGAGTTAACATGCTTCACTTACTGTCATTAGTTGTGTGATTAAGCATACAAAACTTGGACTTTCATAAGTACAACAGAATTGGTGGACGCCCAAACTAACCCGTCACCATTGATGGAAGTTTGTCAGAACACTCTCCTTTGCTTTGAGAACGTAGATATATGGAAGCAGAATTTTTCCCCATAAATCGATTATGATGTTATCTGGAGCCCTAAATCCAGCACTGCAATTCCCCACGCAACTAATTTTTAAACGCATTTTCTATCCATTACCCAAATCGGTTACTATTGTAAGCTCGCGATTGTAAAGTTACCTGTTATAGTATCATTTTGGAAGATGTGAGTAGCCAAACCATCTTCCTAGATGCCTAACTAAAACGTAACTTTTAGGCTCACTTTCACTCTGAGCAATATATACCAAATGTGACCAACTTTCAGGTCATGCCAAAGCCTTTATTACTTTCTTTTGTGCGTCCGGAATTTGTGTAGCGAGCATGTACACCCACATGGTTTGACAGGTAAATAAATCGTAGACACAAACCCAATCGTCTGCAACGTAGCCATTAAGTTTTACCCAGTTTTAGAAATTTTGATTGTACGATTTACGCTGGACGTTTGTCAAGGAAGCCGACTTCCAAGAATGGCATTGGTTACATTGAAAAAAAACGACTGATGCATTATGTGGGCCCATATTCGAAAATGTTACAAAGGCCCTCACGCAACTTTCGATCAGTGTTACTAGGAGCCGGTAGTTAGTAGTGTTGCATTTGCTAAGTTGCTTCGCATAATTATAATTAATTTGTAGCTTTTAGTTAAGGCCTTAGATATCATATCTCATTCTATGCAGAAATGGTAATGGCAACCCAACTGGAAGCGAGTGTATTAATGAAAATGTCGATTCTACACGAAAACGCGAAAACTTCCCCTCCTATGAAGTAGAACCGGTGCGTTCAGGTGAGTCCACGTCAAGCTACTACACGAGAATTCCAATTTATAGCAGTGACACGATGCTTGAAGAATCGTTTATTATTATTAAAACACATCATCTGTTTGAGATGCTATATTATGCTGACTTCGGCATTCAACCTAGACATATTTTTTAATCAAAAACAATACTTACACGTGTTAAGCAAACTAAAATGTCTTAGCTTCAATACAGTTTGTTATAACTTAACTTTTGTTATTCTGGGAACATAATCACAACTACCCTTACCTAGTTTACTTAGAACCTGCCTAGTAATCAACTAAATCGACGTTACTAGGTGTACTTCCAAACTGACTCAGATTTATCCGCAATTCACTCAAGGCTTGTGGTTGACTTGCATATGTAAATCACAATTTTCAGTTACTATGATCAATCAGTTTAAAGGCTCTAGGTAATCATTAGTACTCTCAAGGCCACATTAGGTGTGTTTTGACCTCTCTACCCATGGATGACATCTTACAAACCGCATCCTTAGGCGCACAACCACTAAACACGGCCCCAGAGATGTCATTAAATTGCATCAAGACAGCGGCTAAGGGAATTACCTGCAAAGACATCGAGTCATCTCATTCTCTCTTCACAGAAACCGTGAAGCCCATTAAAACCTTGGAGGTGAGTTGATCAAACTTACCCCCATGTACCTGCATCCAATAGCATGTATGTTCTATTTCATGTTTTTTTAATCACAAAACTTTATGCTGATTGCGAACAGTTTACTTAGGCATTAATGTATGGCACACGGAACTAACAACCTTTAATACCTCCCAGCACCTTTCGATCTTTAGAATGGTGCTCTTCTCCACGACGAATCCACATCTCAGCCTAGGCATTCACCGGTCGCCACGCCTATCGCTTGTCTGAAGGCTCAGCAACTTAAGAGCCCATTTGACTCACCCAATCCACCATCTTTTCCACTACCGATCACCTCTCCGTCCGAGATGCACTTCTCAATTCGTGGAATATCACCCCCACCACCGTCTCCGATTCAAGAAATTTCAAGGGCCTCGTCGTTGTCCGTTGATAATTCTAATTCAATGGAGCTGCCACCGCCGCCGACACCACCACCACGACTTGAATCTCCTACTTGCCCTAAGGCTGAGTCAATCAAGTCAACTTTGAAAATTCCACCACAACAATTTCAATATATGGAGCAGAATTCTTTCGGTGGACTATCGCATGAACCTCTACGCAAGGTGGCGAATGTTTTGACGAACACCGTGAATACTTCAAGAATAACTTATGTTAGAAAGGACCCTTTGGAACAATATAATGACAAGGACAACGTTGTGAAGAACGACCACGTGGCTTCAAGTACAGAGCCCATATTGCCTTCGATTGAGTGTTCCAAAGCCATTGAATCGCACCTGACCTCTGAAAGTCTTTTTATACAGCCTCAGGCACCTATAGAACGCGTCGAGTGTCCAGAGGACACCATTTGCAATAGCGACGTAAATTATTCCGAGTTATGCGCACTTAATGGACCTCGCCTACTTAGTCATTCCAAAGAAAAGATGGAAGTCATTAAACCCTTGACTGTAATGGAAGATGGCGTGTTTCATAGTAGTCCACTTGTCGAAAGTGACGTTGATGAAGCTCCTTCTAGTCTAAAAGAAACACCGCCTCAAGCAATAGCCATCAAGATTGCGCCAACACTATCAAACTACGTCAATGAGGAAGTGGCAGATAAAGTGCCCTCGCAGGCGTGGTTAAATGATGAAATGCCAGTCCCGTATGAAACCAACGGCAGTTTGAATACCTCGGCTGCCAGCGCCAAAGTGGAAGTGCTCGTGGCAGAAACGGTGATATCAGAAACATTCCACAGTCTCGGGGAGCTAGTGGAGGTGAAGGATGGTAAAGCTTCTAGTCCTCCACGGAAGCCACCACGAGGACACGAACGGACTTTGGGTGAAACGAACGGTGCACGACTAGACAGTTTAACCGCAGAATCGGAATTGCTTAGGGGATACAATTTACCATTGCCAACTAAACGAGCACCAGGCGAACCGCCTAAAGACCAACGGAAGTAGGTTTGTTTCGTAATTTTAGGTACTTATTTGCCTTAAGCTTTCGAACCCCCATGGCCCGATCTCTCGGCTTCAATCTCTCCTAATTAGCAATACTTTGCACTTCCTTTTCCATTGCCAAAGGGGAAGTCAATTCCCGGACAATATTCGTACGATTCCTTTGTAGGTTCACGTTAAGTTGTCACATTGTCTCTACCACCGAATTCTCAACTATGGCCAGCCATTTTATCACTGTTGCCTACCTCACTAGAATTTACCGACGTCCCCACTTTAGGGGAATTTGGCCCTTGCACTAATAAGATTTTTGTCGCGTTTGTAACTATTCACTTCAAATAATAAAGAGGTGACAAAATGTGTTGTAAAAAGACCATTTCACGCAAATACAGTTTGGGCAAATATTTCAAAAATTTAGGTCCCAAAAAACTTTTTCCTGCCTAAACACCTCTGTAACGACCCACCAGACTCTAATTGATAAGCTTCTTTATTTTGAGTCAGGACTTATTAGAAAAGCGTGCTAATAATCATTTGTGGGCCCGTCCACACACAATGTATTAATTCAACTAAATCATTCTAACCCAACGAGCAGCCACATTACAACAGTCATACCCTAAATGATCACAAATAGCACTTCATGAAACATTTGTGTTACGTTGTAGCCTACCCCCTCCCCGTCCTCCGAGAATTAATGTGATTGGCACTTGGTACACGTGTGCAGGATGCAACCAACAGCTTGGTATGTTTTTGATGTTGAGTTTGTACTTATAAGCTTCAGTAGATCGCACTTAATCACAACAATTAACTTATAGGAACCAGTGACCTCATGATCGTTGAACAGCTAAGCCTTTTCTACCACCTTTCCTGTTTTGTCTGTGCTGAATGTGGTATTCAATTGAGTGATGGACAGAATGAAACGGCAGTAAGAATACGTAACAGTCTAATCTACTGCTACATTTGCTACCACCGACTAAGCAAGGCGACAACACACAACAAAGAGGGAAGTGGGACAAAGAAGTCAAAAAAGCGTCAGAACCGCAACGAAAACCCATCCACTGCCGCAATCGGACAGTTAGTTTCTACAACCCCTTCTCACCAGGCGGGTAAGTTGGTAGCCCAGTGAATTGATTGTGGCATCAGTTACGTTAAAACTGCATTATTTTTTGGTGAGGCATGAGAGCCGAAGTAAACAAATTTTGATTTTCCTAAATCTTACTCAAACATTGTATTGAATTAATTGCCGTCAATTTAATTGAGGGGGCAGGTTCACAAATAACTGGTTCTACTTTCTTTGTGAACAACGTCGAATATTTATGGGCTAGTAGTTAAGTATAATTACATCATCCAGTCATTCCTGCCTCTAACAAATATAATATGAGCCAAAACACGAATATTATGTACGCGCACAGTTCTCGCATGTGTAAACAGTCACTATTACGGCTGGGGGTAAATTTGTGCCTCAAACGCTGCTTGTGGATCAGTCTAATGACAAAAGATTAATATAGTAGCGATAGATAGGCGGTCATAACATGACAAAGGACGGAGTCGAAAAGTGCGCCGCCGTGGAGTAGATGGGGCATTGTGCAGACATTAACCAGATCTCGGTTGTAAAAGCGCGTTACTTGCAAAATTGCTGAAATCCCACACGAAAAGTTTAGCTTTATGGATATTTTCTTACTCAATATAACATGCAGTTAATGATTTATTCCATGCACGAATGCAGGCAACGCCAATGAGAGCATACGCCTATCTGTTTTCCACTTCTAACGGTAAGTTCGCAGCATCCAGAACTCAAAATAATCAACCACAAGCAATTTTCAAGCACCCACAACCGCGCAAACACCATTCTGAATATAACATCTCCTGATTTTGTGTTCATGGGTGGAATATAAGTATCATCAGTGATTAATTTTTGATGTTCTTATTTTTAAGTCGACTTGTTCCATTACTGGCCTTTTTTCCTTTAGACTTAATTGGAAACCCAACGGGGAGGTGACACAAATGTCGGAAATCAACATCTTGTACATACAAGTTCCTGTGGGCATCAAATTTGCAAAAATTATATTCGCAGAAAATCCCATACAAATCCACACCCGTGATTCATACCAAATTTCGTAAAAAGGCACTGCAAAATGTTACGACATTGATTTGTGCCAAATTTTCAAGAAATAAAAATCCCGCAGTTTGAAAAGTTTAGAAGGAAAAGTGCGGATCACTGATGGGACGTATGCCCATAGTTGTAGAAAAATCCATGGCTCACAATCTACGCCGAGAAATAAGATCCTCCCAGTAGTATGGACTATATGCTCTTTCTTTTCGCCTAAAATAATCAATGTTAGTAAAACAAAGGCTCTGGTTAATATTCCATACTTCGGCTTGAGTGTTCGTGAGGACTTGCAAAGAGAAGCTGCAACATCTTGGATGGTTGGTCTTGAAGTGTGATCGAACTGCACCTTTAAGGGGGACTCATGGCAATTGGTTACGTCGAAGTAGTGGGGAAGAGGCTAGTGTATGAAATCAGAATTACATTAAATCAGTCGCTTACTTTCGTCTTATCGTAAGGAATATCCCTTCTTGGGTGCCACGAAATAACAACGGCACCGTCTTTTGATACAACGTTTGCTCGAGAGCAAAGTGTTGACATACACAATCTCAAAAGACCAGGTGCGTTTCTAACATGCATCTACGCAAAAAGATAAACAATGAACTCGAAATCGGCAAGGCGCGAAGCAGCCAAGGAAGCGTTTCTTAAAAATGGCAACACGCTTGATGATTGACCAAAAATCCGAAGACAAAATCGCTTTGGTGACCAATTACGTTTTATTAAACCCAGTAACATAAGTTTTCCAGGGCAGATAACTAATCATCAACTATATCGAGCAAGTTATTAGATACAACAAGGGGTTTTTGAACATAGAAAGAATTATAAAATACTGAGGAAAGCAAAAACGAAATCATCTCAGAAATATATTACAGGTACTGAAACAATAATAAGAAATACCAAAAACAAAATCACTTTTTTGCTGTAGAGGCTGATATTCGGTTAGATAATTTCAAAATCGATCGACCGCCTATTACTGCAGTTCATATTTCAAACTCATGTCAAATATATGCACAAAACCCGGTTTAGAGACTGTGAACACACTACTTTGTCTGGGAAATTCATTGATTCCCAAAGTAACGGAACTGATGCTACAACAATAATGCAATGTACATGGGCAACAATCTCAATTTGTAACAAAATATCATTCTTTTAAAAGTTTCTTGCATGTGCTAAATCTATCTCTCCAATTAAATGAATTTTGACGCATTTATAACCACTATCTACAATTCAAATTAATAAAATTTAAAGTAGTGAAAAACATGTGAAAGATTCCTAATGGAACCAGAAATTTGATTAACCTGATGTGCTTTGCACACCTACGCAGGTAGGTAAAATCCACTTGGATTCGGGCGGTCCGCTCCAAGATAAATTTAAACTGTAATTAGGATAAAATCGAATGTGAAGAATTTTAAACCGTATGTTAAATTGCTAATTCTAGATGTCCTTTGCATTGTGTTTAAAATGCGTTTCAGGACTGTGCAATGTAAAACATAGGTATCACTGTCTATGCAGTGCTAACATAATAAATTATGGTGTTTGGATATAAACTCTTGTATGGTTCAGTACATCTGACTACGGGTTTCAGCAAAAAACCATTTGAAGAGGGTAAAAATAGAAACAGTAAGTCAAAAATTGCTTTAAAAGGGCCACAAATAAGCCTATCTCACCACAGTATTACTTGCGACACATTATTTGTATGGTTTGAACATTCTCAATGTAGCCAAAATTCTTTTGTAAAAATACAATGAAGCAAGTGAATCCGACAAAAAAAATAATCACAAAATTGGTAAGGTCTTGGCCCTATTGTGCAAATTTTGAAAGAGATAGTTTTGTTTTTTTTATAAATATTGAATAGTAATTCATTCGTGAATGTATTTTTCAGCCAATTTCCCACTGTGGACATACTATATATGTAAATTATATAAGAATGATAAAACACGTAGCCACCACGCTGATCTTTAAATGGAAGAAGTATATGTTAAAATTAAATTTTGTAAATTGATTAAAATGATTCCAACAACAAGAATAATACACAATTTAATTTTTTTAATATTTGGAATGTCTTAAATTTTGCTTTTAACGAACAGCTTACACGTCGAAAACGCATTAAAAATCTTTTTGATACCACCTAATTAAAATCAGTTATTATGAAAAGTCGTTTAAAAGTGCTATATTGTAACGAGGGTTGTAATGAAACATTTTTTCACTGGAATAAAACTTTATTTTTTTTTAAGAAGCTCTATGTTTAAACATTACATTGCACTGATTACATCACTCAAGTAGGTTAATTAATATATGAGGACAACCCATCAGCTCTCAAGTCGACCTGGATTGACCATACTAATTTCCTATTCGTTCCTTTAGACCTCGACATTATTGACTGTCCCAGTAAGCCAATTAGAACCATGCGAATTTGTCATTTGCGGTAGTTTCTGTCATGTGTCTTTTTGGACTTGTTCACGTGATTTAAACTAATGGAAGTTTCACTGAACCGTTTTTTGAATGGTCTTAAGTCATCTTCAGAAGACTTACAGCTGTGCACTGCTCTCGACCTTCGTCGCTATGTAGCATCCGAGCTAAAGGAAGCTGTATCAAGCAATTATTCTGACTTCATCGAGGATTTATGTCTAGAACTGGAAGGAATGCTGGCTGGGAGCGATTACAATGAAAAACGAGGCGCGATTCTTGCTATTGGTAAATGTTATTAATGTTTTTTTTATTGTGTGGTTTTCTCTTTACATAAGTGGTTTGGATGTTTCAATAGCATCTCAATGGAACGTCTTTTGAGTTTTTCGAATGGCGTATATATTTACCTTCGAATGCAACTCAGATAATCCTTCTTGTATTCGAGTGTACTGATGTGACATTTGCGTTCTGAAATTTCCGCTCAATGCTATCCAAATAATATGTTGATCAATAAATGTTTGATAAATATTGGGTCACGCACTTCTGCAGTAAGTTAATGCTTACGTGCATCATGCCTTCTGATTCTATCAATTGTCGTTATAAGACTGGTTGCGTCTTTTATCTCAAACGCAATATTTGGCAGTCCTAAATAGTTGCTTCTTAACCTCGTTTATAGGGGCGACTACATGTTCATAGTTTGTTGTTGAAATTGTTATTTATTTAAGCAATGCCCTCAAATTTGACCAGTTTAGCTGTATTATTTTTCTTTCTTTTTGCTTAAATCACTTATTTGTCTCCTGGGATTTATTTACCTTTTTTCTTAATAGCGTTAATAGTAAATCCCATCTGTAAATTAACGACGTTTTGATTTGATCCATAATCAAAATGTGTAAAATTACTTCACTACCGTGCTTTTTCTCTCCAAGGATGTTTGGCTGAAGTGGACTTTGTTGCAGTCACTCCTTTTTATCCGCGGTTCGTTAATCTTGTAAATTTGTTGACCACTTCTGGCGATCTCCATCTTCTTGTCCTTGGTGCTCGGCTTTTGGGTCAGTTTGGCCTTTTGCTACCTAACGACTTTGCTGATGGTCAAATCAAACGTGCATATGAACACTTAAGGCGGGGGAATCTTTCTATCTCCCAGAAAGAATTTTATGTGAGCATGCTTTCAAATAACCTTTACATTCATTTACTGCATTTTATGAGTCTGGTGTCTTCTTGCACGTTCTGTGGAAGTCACCATCTTTCACACGATCTTATAATCTGCAGCTTGTAAAATGTGCCATTACTATATTATGGCATCTTAATTACAGATTCTTGTCCTCCGCGAGGCGGCCCTTCATACTCCAACTAGTTTCTACCAGCATGTTAGCCAGTGCCTTCCAATATTGCTTCAGTTTTTTCGCGAGAAAGATGTAAGTAAAGTTAAAATTAGGTGTTAGCTTTAGGCCATCGATGTCTTTCCATATCAGAGCCATATTTCGCCTGCGGTTGGTATCATTTTTACTTTATTCGCCCTTCAGACTATACTTCGTGATTTGGCTGCTATGGCTTTACGAAACGCCCTTGCGATAGCCGCCGAAAACGAAATTGGTCGTCGTGGGCAACAGTTGGGTTTTGATACCGGTGGAAGTGGCGACGGATTCCACAATTTCACTACTTACACCACAGGAAGTCGACCAGTGACTGCCGGCTTGAGCAAACAGGTTAAAGGTGGCGCAAATACTCCTGTGCGAAAATTAAGCAGCTCTCAGCAGTCTGTCATACCACAGACACAGGTTCCTTATTTACCTGTTAATGAGCCTCCGATGGTTTGGTACCATCAATGTTTTGTCCAACTCCTCTTTACTTATGCGAAAGCTGTCACCATCAAGCCTTCTGACCAAAGATCACCAATTGTAAGTTTCGTTATTTTTTTTTTTAACTTTCTCTTAGCCTTTTTCCCAAGCTTACAGAAAAATGACTAGAGATGAGTGGGCACACGGCAGCCTTCTCATTCTAAATGAACTCCTTGTTTGTGCCAATCCAGAATTTGAAAAGCTACGAACTTCTTTGGATAACATGATCGGACAGGTAAGCTGTGGTTGCAGATTTACAACTAAAAACGTAGACAGTAACACCGTTTTCTTATTTCAGCCAATCTTTCATGCGCTAGTTATTAACCAAACGGAAGGCGAGTTGGCCGTGCAGTCTGTGAACCAGGCCCGTTGGGCTGTTAGCTCGTCATCTAATTCCTGGATTTCAATTCTAAATACTGACACACCTCTTCATACGTTGACCTCACCCTCTCATGTTTTCGGTGACGAAGGTGTGGCAAGCGAGCTTCTTCGACAGCAGCAATTTCGACAACAAAGAGCTGCGCCGATTGTGTCTGAAGCATGTCAGTGCATACTCAGCGCCAACCTAGATAAGGTCTTTATTTGGTCTTTTTCGTGTACTCCCAATTTACTCCTTTCAACTTGATTTGGTTTTCCGTGCATGCTAGTTTTATGCTGAACAAAAGTCATCAATGTAAACTATTCCCAAAAAATGTATATTGTCGTTTATTTACCACTTACATGGCAATTTTCTGGCTAGTGTAGGTGGGATGTAACATTGAATCTCAGGCGATCTTGGAATGCTGTTTGAATGCCATAGTTTTTCAATTTATGTTTTGTTTGTATTTTTAATGTACCAAGGTTAAGGCCGCATCGTGGATTTGATCTGATTGAAGGTTATGTTCTCCTAGTATGAAATATCTGACGTAGATATTAACAAAACTTTGCCTCCATCTTGTTAGGTTTGGAGCCTGGTTCTTGGATGCTTAAGTTCAAAACACATCGGCGTGTTACATCTCGTTCTGAAAGTACTTCCGCGCCTCATTTCTTTTGAAAGAACATTCCTAAACCCCGAGTAAGTACTTTATGCTTGCCTATAGCTTATCTGAAAGAACACTCCTAAACCCAGAGTTAATACTTGATGCTTACCTATAGCTTATCTGAAGAGACTTCGTTCGTATCAAGACATTCTCCTAAACCACTGGAATCGTCCCAAAGGTTTGTTTCTTACTTGTTTTAATATTTTAAGGCTGTTGTAGTTTTCGTAAAACTTTCTAGCTAAATTTCACAATGAACCGATGTTTATTACTATAATCGTTTCCAGCAGGCCAAAGGATCTTTCATATTGTAGACTATAACTGAACTCTAAACGGGTTAATTCCCCTCAATTTGCTCAAAAGTATCTGTTACCTATCGCTCCAAAATTGCATACGAATTTGTAAATATGGCTTCTCAGATTATATTCTCTGTTGAATCTACGTTATTACCACAGTTGGAAACAAGTTACCCATACAGATTATTAATACCTGACTCATAATTGTCGTGTTGTTGATTGTCTTTAAAATTGAAGTATCTGGTTCTCATTTGTCCTTGAGTTGTGCTTTATAATTTTTTACAGTAATAATATTTGGATTTTTCCCTTTTGTAGTGTTGTCCGTACGGTGGTCAACTTTCTCTTTGATTGTGTAAACAAAGATAGAGAAAAGGGGTATGCACTCGTTACCCTCGGCCTTATGACTCATGCGTTGGACAATGAATTTGAGAAGCAGGGCTATCTCGCCCAGCTGATCGCCATTTTACTTAGCCTGTTGACTTCCACGAAGGAAGTGGCCAACTCGAAGTACGCATTAAGTTTGCGGCCTGTTTCTATGCCCCAGTGATGTGTTATTTCAGTCTCTCCGTTTCACTTCGTAGAAGGCGACCAGGAAGTTTGTCGACTGCGGTCTTGTTGACAATAGGCCTTATCGCCAAATCTCTTCGCTCTCGTGCGTGTTCTTCCCTGAAACCGCTGCTTGACCCAATGATTTCGCGAGGGCTCTCACAGCCAATGACAGCAACCTGTAGCCTTATTGTTAAACATATTCCCGAATTGAAACGCGATGTACAGGTAATTGGGCGCCCCATCTTGTTGTGGGCATTCTTGCTACTCAGTTATTCGCAGTTACATGTTTGAATGAGCCTGTTTTTTAATGCTTCTGAATTATCCGTTTGCTGTTTATATGCCAAAACAATCAATATTGACAACCTTTCTTACTACTGTTTATCTACGAGTTGTGTAGTGCTAGCGTAAATCATTACCACTTAGTTTGATTGATTAGTTTTACGTTCGGATATAGTATCCAACGTGTTTTACTAAAAGGCTTATCACTTGTAGGAATTAGTGCCTATTTCTACATTTGTGTATGCATGTTCAATTTGTTTATAAATCTACAAATACCAATTTATCAGACCTCTGTGATGCCTGCCTTTATCACTTTATCTCTAAGCAACTTTTTCTCATCTGATTGGGGTTTTTCGCTCTTCTTCCCATGGAGAATTCGAACATAACTGTCTCCATTATTCGTGTTGTAGGATAGCCTTCTAAAGCGCATTAATCTAGTGCTAGCAAACAGCAGTGGTTATAGTGTTACCACGCCCGTTGCAATCGCGTCGCCTAACAGCACCGTCCCAGCCGTCTTTGGATCAACTCCACCCGCCAGTAATTCTTCCGGCGGGCGCTTTTCTGTTGTCGGAGTTTCTCGTCTTGTGCCGAACCGTGGACGCAGTCCCCTCGTTCTCTCTGCATCTGGTCACGTGAGAACAAGCTCTATCCCGCTGCCTGGATTCCCTTGGGGAGAAGCGTTTTCAAAGAGTCCCACCATCGACTTCGATCTTGATTTACCGAGTGATTTGCTTACCGAAAATCAACTGGTAGCTGTGGCTCTGAGAACCCTCGGAAACTTTGATTTTACAGGCAAGTCCCAAATCCCTGCCTTGTACCAAAAGCCGCTTGTGCTCAGTCTCGAAGACATTTCTGTTGGTTCCCGGTACATATAAGCATTCTTTTTTCAAATGCTCTCTCAGATTATTATTTTTAGCTCTAGACAAACCCATCAATTCACCATTATTAATTACTTTTTAGGTAGATGTATTTAGTCTACTTTGTCTCATTCACAAGTAACCTTTTCTAGATGTCTCCCATTTTAGGTCATACACTGGCATATTGTGTAAAACACACTGCCGAGAATTTCATATCGGTTAGCACCTGTAGTGTAAAGGAAATACGTCTCGAAGGTGTACGAACATGCCTTCGTCTAATGCTGCCCTTGATTCAAGTGAGGTTACTTTGCTACCCGTCACCCACCTTTTTGTAGTCGGCTGAGCTCGTTCCCGATCCACTAAACAAGACACTCGACGCTGTTTCCGATATACTCGCAAAGTTATTGGTTGTTGGCATCAGCGACCCAGGTTATCTACTTATTAATTAATTATGTCTCTATATAGACCCCGAAGTTCGGAAATGCGTCTTTTCTTCACTTGACAGTCAATTTGACAATTACCTAGCCCAGTCAAGGCATCTAAATTCTCTCTTTGTTGCTTTAAATGATGAAGTCTTTGCCATCCGTGGATTCGTTATGCAGTGCATTGGGCGGCTCTCAGACATTAATCCTGCTTGTGTCCAACCAACTCTAAGGAAGGTTATGCTCAGAGTAGGTTTTTTGTGTATTTGGATGTGTGGTTGAACAGTGTACGCATCAGTTAATGCAGGGAGGCTTAATTGAGCACCCGCTGATTTATTGTTTGTTCATACTAACGTAAACTATGTCCTATTGTGGATTTTTTTGCCATTTTAAATCTAATCTTTACAAGACATACTAAACGGAATTTCCGTATGTAATTGCCACGTGTCACAAGCTATTAGAATTGTGGTTCCAGCGTGCTCTGTCAGTTTGAAGAAACCATCGTCTCTGAATGAATCCCATTCAACAGAGGGCGATATTTGTCACATTAGATAATCACGGACCTCGCAGACAGCGGCACAACAAGGAATAGAGAGGAGTCGGTTGCATTGGTCGCTATTCTCGCTTCAACTGCTCCACATTTCGTGTTGCCCTATGGCGAGTCCCTTTTGCACGTCATCATACCTCAGATCCGAAAAGCTCTGCCAGTCAACTTGCGGATGAGATTGCTTATCATGAGGAACGAAAGACTTCGAAAGGCCGGCAAGTTGAAGCTACTTGTTATAGTTTTTTTGCTTCTGACTTCAACTTCTTCTTAGTAACAATTCTGCATTTTAAGTAATTTGCGTTATTTCCACACTTAGCATTCTTTTATCACGAAATCAATTTTTTTGGTAAGGGTCGGCTTTGGTGATTTATTTCAAAGATATCTTGACTTTTTAGAAAAGCATCTTCACTTAGTTCAACCCTAATTCCATTGCAAATTTGGTATCTCCCACATTTTAATGGTCGCTGTGCATGAATCTTATTTGCCTTCGATTTCGTTGTAATTGTTGTTACGACTCTTATCAAAGCTATTCTATAATGCTATTACATTCCGTTTAAGTAATTACTGATAAAGAAATGACAATGCCGGTAATCTCCTTTCGATAATGAATTTGCTTTCCATTTCCTCGAATTGGCGTTTTATAACTTCTGCTGCTCTCACACGCATTATGCGCTTAATCACAACACCTCACCATTCAACCCCGTGAAAGGGCTGTTAAAGTTCCAGCAGGAACCTTTAGTTCTCAGTCTGACACTCATTTTCGTCAGTTCAGCTAATTTTACCTACCGCCTCAAATGTCACAGCTTCTTTGTTTTACATTGCTTTTCTAGACATGCTTTTCTTCTTTGCTTTTAACATTATTCCCATGTCAGCTCGTGAAAGTCCATATTCATCTGCAATAATTTTGTGTGGCTTAAAGTTCTACTTATAATTGTTCACTTATTTAGCCAGTAGGGGTGGTAGCTGCCTCAATGTGGATATGCTGACCGACAGCAGTGAAATCTCCTTAAGCACTGCCCTTCTCGCTTCCCAGTCGGCTGCACACGCAGCCGCACAGGCAGTCCAGGCAGTTGCCACGGCCACCGCCCGGAGTGCCGGACAGCAGCTCTTTCGATCACTCTCCGGCAATAAGCCGGCTCCGACCTCCACTCAAGCCACTACTGTCGGTGCTAGGGCCGTCGTAGCAGCGAATTATGCGGCTCATTCCGCCGCTGTCGCTGCCAAGGTGATCAGCACGGCTGTCGGAAGGCACGTAAAGGGTGGAGCTGGCTTATATGACTACGCTTCTGTAGGTCTAATTCTTTGTTCTTTGATTCTATTCGCAATGAACCCCGGTTACGCTGCCATTTCGACCTGTCTAACCATCTGCAATAACGTGGAAAATCAACCTCATTACTACTTAAAAATTAATCAAAACCTAGCACATAATTTCTCATGCTTTTAACTTCCTTACATAGTGGACTGCCTTTTGGTGTCTCTCACCTAAATCACATCACTTCTCTTCTGGACTCACTGACAGTGTAATAGTTTAAAGAATATCTTAAGAAACTTGAGGAACTGTTACCAGTTTAGTAAGGCGTATCGATCGGCCCTTGCCATCGCCGCGTCATGTGATCTGGGAAACATGCAGGCACATTACCTTGCTGGTTTCTACCGAAGTAGCTCAATCTGCAGCATCCCTAGTCTTTTTGGCTTCAATATTTCGTCCGCTGTTGAGACATAACTGGGATAAAGATCCTCGCATTCTATCATTGGAGTGTTTAAAGTATTCATCACATTGGCTAAGCTTATAACGCACAGTTTTCTTTTAAGTATCTTAAACTATATATTCGTGCTGTGAAATCCGCAAATCGTTCAGTGGTACGTTGATAGTGCCATTTTGCACATTGTGATTTTCCAAAATTATTTAAGAGTCGTTTACGTTCGTCGCATTTTAAATAAACGCCTTAACTGTAATTGTACAGTAGTTCCCATTTTGGTTTTTCTTCATTTCATAGACCTATCACAATGCCGTTGGTTGCCCCAGCTTTTCCCGCGAGATCACCACCGGTCTGGACTTGTTGATCGGCAACCCTGATGAGACGTTACCGGGCACCAATCAGGAATTCCTGTCAGTGGCAGCCGCTTTGGGCGGCGGCGACGCAGCAGAAGCTTCCAAGGGTTTGCTTTTAGTAAACGGCGCCCCTTCTAGACCCGTTGAGGGGATCGGTGCTGTGCCAGCGAAACTATTTCCTGCTCCTGGAGCGCTTCGCCCCGGCCAGAGTAGTTCTGAAGATGCAAACGCTCTTTGGGGGGAACCGAAGGGTTTGGTGGTCGCTCTTTTCTCGGCACTAGCTCATCTTTCTTCCGTCTGCCCTAAAGCTATTGTGCCTTTGATGGATGACTTAATTCCCATACTCGCTTACATGCTACAAGACTCGACCTGTCATGAAAAAAGATCCGTGAGTTTCTAAAGTCTTGTTAAATTCACTTTGTCTAACTATTGAATCGTCTATAGTTTCGTTGCCTCTGGTTTTTCACCACTTAAGGAATTCGTTAAACTGGTCCTTCTGACCACTTGTTGGCAAAAGCTACGTGTTGACTTATGACTTCCGGCTTCTGTGTGTCATTCCTGCAAAATGATGACATTTTAATTGTGACATCCCTGAAATTTTAGGTTGCTGCATGGGCACTTGGAGTTTTGGTTTCAAACACCGGCTACGTTGTGCTCCCGTATTTAAAACATCCCGACCTTCTGGAATTGCTGTTTACATTATTGAAACGCGTCGAGTCGAAGAGTATTCAAGCTGAGGTAGATTGTTTCTTTGTATAAAAAAACTACCACTTTTGTCGCAACCTTTCTTTACCCTTATTGCTAACCGTAGATTATCCGTGTTTTGGGATTAATTGGAGCCGTTGATCCCTTCAAACTGAGGGTGTCTGGAGGACACTATGACTATATTCAAGACACAGATATAGTCATTAGTCAGCATGACGTCGTGGAGTCCAGGGACGGTAAGCCGGCATTCACTAAACTCCCCCAACGCATAACAGACCGTTCCTGTATGCTATTTGAATATTTCGAAGATTTAACTTTTTCTTTAATTGCTTCATGGCCGTTTAACAGTCTTGACCAGTTTCCATTCTCTCTCAACCTATCGCCCACCTTGGTTCCAAAATACAAAAAACCATGCCGTTTCATAAAGTTCTTAGCAACTCCACTTCATTTCCTGTGGATCATCTTGCTCACTTCTTGATCTCTATAGGGTTTTATTTGGTTGTCTACCGAATGAACTAGCTCGCTCCACTTTGATTCTCTTTTTGCTGCTTTTTGTTGTCACGTTTAAGCCATTTAATTAGTTTGGGTATAGCGGGATACCGATCCGCAAGTTTGCCTTTCTTGAAAGCAGGCGTCACGTCTTAATTTAAATTGTGTCCTTGAACATAGTTTTGTTTGAACTCTTAGGAAACTCAAACAACTGAACTCGCCGTTTTCCATACCCGAATCCTATTTATAAGGTTGCTACGTCGTAATCTGTCGGTTCTAATTTGATTTTTTAAATGAAAACTTTACCCTTGTTAGTTGACATCACACAGTCGGAGTTGTTGGTGAACTTGTGCTGGGAAAATCGAGAGGAATTCTTCGCCACCTACTCCCTCTCGGCTCTGATCAATGTTTTACGGGAGCCAGGAACGAAAGGCAATTGGGACAGTGTAGTGCAGACAATCGTTCATGTGATGGAATCTTTTAGTCAACGCGCTATTCCCTGTCTGCACCAAGTCATGGCGGAGTTGTTCAAGTGCCTTAAGAGTCTTCATGAAGTTCGGGTATGCTCGAAAAGTCTGCGCCTTTTAATCCGCTTCCTTTCTTAACTTCTTGTGTGTTATCTTAGACTAGGAGCGGCAGCTCTCCCGTCAAATTAATCTTCCAAGTAAGGGACACACAAAACTCCAGTAGTGATGTCTTACTGTTTCTAAATGTGCCTAAAGTTCAACTGCTAGTCAATGTCTGACGCTATGGTTCGGAGTTCGGAGACGTTGATAATCTGTCCAATTCATCTCTGCTCATAGAATTTTCGGTCTTGACCGTCACTAGTATCGTGCTGTTGTGCATTTTTCGTCTAAATTCTATGTTTCATGGGCAAAATTTTACTGGACCCCTAATTTACTAATGTTCAGCTCTTATGAATTCATGGCAGTCGAAAAATATTGATTGTGATGTCACTAATTTTGTCAACGTGTAATGTTTCATAATTTGGACCAATTGGTTTATCACATGTAAACATAGCTATGGACTAAAAGTTATTTACTACAAGTTAAATCACGGTCAGATCTCGTTCGCGACCAAATTATTCGGTGTAAGGCCAATCTACAATTATCAATACGAGATTGAAATAGTGGACTAAAGTGATTTTGAGCTTTGAATCTGTCCAAGGTCATGTTTGAATTATTTGCTTTAGACGCAGCTTGTTAAATTAATACGCTCCCACATAAAAAGCCGAAAAAAACACTCATTTTTGATTAATTTATCGCCTGGAACATGGTCTGATTCTTCTGTAATTTGGAAAATTGTCGACCAGATCGTGTAGCCTGTCGTGGAAAAGCTCGAATGATCGTTACCACCATAGTTAGGTGCCATTGATTACGAATGAAATGGGGAATTTTTTCATGGTAGCACATCCAGCCTTTGTTTGCAGGCGCCGTCACTAGGTCAGTTTTGAGAATCAACAATGTCTGAATTGGACCAAATAGATGTCTGCTCTGAATTTTATCTCTCGTTATCTAGCTCTAAAACCGCACCAAATTTGTAGGCGGCTGAAAAAATGATGCAGCCGTTCACTTATGTCGCATATTTTGTCTGTCAATTTCAGCTTCAGGAGACAATACTATTGCATATGTGCGGAATAGTTCAAGTAATTGGACCCTTTGCCAAAGAATTCGCTTCCGAAATAGTTGATGTTATCACTACTTTCTGGAGCGACTCAACCCCTGCTGTCCAACGAAACTGTATTCGATTGGCTGGTGTAACGGCAAATGTTCTCCAAACCGACTTTCGTCCGTATATGTCACGCCTGGCGCCATGCATGCTTCGCAGTCTAAAGCAAGACTTGAATGATGACAACCTCGTTGTTGTAAGTTTCAAATTTTAAGGATCCTTTTCTTACAACTCATTCAAAGTTATTTTCTGGGTTTCTACTATGAACACTCTGCCACTCATTCATTGAAAACCTTAGTCTAGTTCATTTTATGGTCGGTAGCGTGTCGTTTATCTAATTTGATGGAGCCGTTGGATATTGAGCTATGTCGTAATTCTTCCTCTAAGTAGTTTGGGGCCCGGATTTGGATGTTCGTTTTTAGTTACTGTCTTATTTTCGTGGAAAATGCGAAAAATCCTGCTTTTATGCGGCTTCCTTGCATTTATGATGTGCTTTAAAAACATGGTGAAAACAAATGCTTGTTTTGAAAACGGTCTCAGAAGCCGCTGGTTAAAATCGACCTGACTCATCAATCTCACATATTCCACTTCTCACTCAATTCTTTTTTTCACCGCCAGATTTGAATTGTTTTCAAATGCTCCTATTTGCTAATATAGGCATTTTAATCACCAATATTCGATCCGGATTAATAACCAAATAGTGATTATTCCGAGAGTTTGCTGTTTTGTATCTTGATGCATAAGTAGTTATAGATTTTCTAAGCGCCCTTCACCTTCTGGTCATGCTTGTGTTTCAGCTCTGTGAATTATTGAGTGATTTGGGTTCCTTGCTGGATGACCACTTGCACATTTTGGTCCCAGTGATGGCCTACCTTGTGGGAAACACAGAAGAGCCTGGATTCGAACACCTTTTACGCACGGCTTTGGAGTCACAGAATATTCCTCCCCCGCAGCCCACTGCCTCAGGGCCGGTGTCTGTGGTAAGGACAGGGGGACAACCCTTCTCTTCTAGCTGCAGCCCCGAGTCTGTCGAGCTGATGACCGCAGCTTCTCCAACTTACCTCGACGTCGAGCCCTTAGTTATGGGGACTCCTGTTGATTCACTGTTCCCGGAAACGTCTATCAGTGGTGGTGGTGGTGCTCTGCGCAACACTCTCAGAGCAGCTCAGAAGGCCACCACCACTTCTCAAGTGGTCGGCAGCCTCAATTTGCGACTGGCTGCGTTGCGGTGTTTAGTGAAACTCACTGACGTGCTTTACGTTGAGCCTCTTGCCACGGCTATCGTTCATCCCTTCTGCAGGCTTCTCACTACTTTAAGCGAACGTTCACAGGGAGTTGTCGAGGTGAAAGGAAAGCCTTCGGGATCGCATGTTGCACTGAAGGCCCTTTTCCCGCTTTGTATGGATGTGATAACAAACTTGTTGACTCAAATGGGGCCGGGGTTCAAGTTCGTTATGCCTGTGGTGCAAGTGACACTCTCTGTTGTTAAAATGACCCACCAGAGATACAATGCAACTTTGAACAAGGTGAGTGCGCCTTTTTATTGCCGGTTACAGATGACACACGTATAAGACTAGTCAGTTCCGTCATAAGCATAGATTTCCGAGTTTAGGTCCAAATATGTGGGTTGTATTTCTAAGGAAACACTGTTAAAATGCTTACATTTATCGATTTTATACCGGGTCCTCAAATTCTCTTGTTCGCTTTTGGTATCTGCTCACTTTTTTTTAAAGACCTTTTGTTAATAAGCTCGTTTTTATCTTATTTTTAGCTAACAACAGAGGGATTAATGGGTCTAAACTCTGTTGTCGATCGACCCATTTTGCAGGACACTCATGCCAACTTTACACGGAAGACCGAACCTGAAAAGCAGGTGAAATCACATTCTCTTAACAGGTAAGTCAGTCGTCTTTATGATTTAACTTAGCTAAAATAAACCAGAAGACAGGAATTTAACGTGTATCCTGTGTAAAAGGGCTGTCACGTGGTAGAACGAAGTAGCTGTAGGTATAACCACTAAAAATTCCCAAAACTCGTACTCAAAAATGCATATTCAACCTCTTGTCTATGATCACGCCACTGTTCCGGTTACTGCAGCCCCATTATTTTCTCCTCCTAGCCTTAATTTACAACGTGCCTGGCAGTCTTCTCGTCTAGTGAATCCAGACGACTGGAATCAGTGGCTCAAAACACTGTCCGTGGCACTTCTTCGCGAATCGCCAAGCCCGGCCATTCGGGCATGTGCACGCCTCACCGCAATTGCTCCACAAATTTCACGTCGCCTCTTCAATGCTGCCTTCATGAGCTGCTGGAAGGAGCTGCGTGATGCCGAACAGGATGATTTAATAAACACTCTTGAGTCTGTTCTGCGACTCCCCTCTTCTGCGAGTCAGGCCAGAGAGATAAGTCAAGCCATCCTCAATCTCGAAGAGTTCATGGCCCACGCTGATAAGGTGAGGTGCTTCATTTCGAATTCGCAGAATCTTCTTTGGTCAATCAAGTACGCAGGATGTAGTATGTCAGCCTATACCCTTTCTTGTAAACCCCAGACTCCGATATTTCTCAGCAAGTACATACATAGGTGGATCCCTGTCGCACACGGCTTCTCGCGAATGCCACTAACCCAAGAGAATTAATAAAGTCAACTAAAGGGTTAAAACAGCATTTATAATTCCTTCATGCATTTTAGATAAAGCACTATCTCTCATTTTTGGCTATTTTCCAAGTGTACTTTTCCAATGAACGCAAAGTTCGTAACCTGTTTAACTAATTTTGGTGTTTGTTTTTTTTTCTGGAAATTGCATTATTCGTCAGTCGATGCAAGGTTATTCAAAACCTCACCTCGTTTTTAGTTTTCGTCTAAAACGCCTCGGGTGCATCTCCCACTGTCACTTAACCTTCTTGCTGACCGGGCAATGAAGAACCGGGCCTTCGCGAAGGCACTGCGCTACAAGGAGTTGGAGTTTATCGATGAAGTGGAGAAATTCTCAAGTCCAACTCCATCAACACTCGCCGCGCTCCTTGCCATCTACGATAAACTACAGCTCACTGAAGCGTCCAACGGCGTTCTATTATACGCCACAAAAGATCCGCGCAATAAATTGGTAAGAGTGCATTGCTGTGAAATTTTCAATCAGCTTATTTTCAACTATGTGTGACCCTTATTTTGTGTTTAGAATCTCTTCCACTTGAAGTAAACGTTAATTCCATTTGTGTTTTTTCATATTGCATTTAAATCTTAGCTTGGTTCTGAATTGTTGTTAAGGCTGCACTAAATTCTGTCACAGTCGTGTGTTTTAATCGAGTCTTTATACACTTTTCATCAAGTCACGCTACACATACCCGATGTTCTTTTTGGGAATTCAAGAATAGTTCAAACGGCCTTCTCAAAGCACTGACTTTCCGTATTTCGTCGAATTATAGACTGACGAGGAGTTGTGGTACGAGAAGTTGCATAACTGGGACCGTGCAATAGCCCTGTGTGACCGAAAGCTAGAAGATGAGAGAATTAAGGACAAAACTAAGCCAATCCTCTGTCGGCTCCGATGTCTGCATTCACTTGGCCAGTGGTAAGTTGAAGGAACTTATTTTGGACAACCATGAAGCTCGTCTGATCTCTAATCTGTGTATTCTTGAATTTCAATTCAATCATATTTCATCCGATGCCACCTGAAGGCTTCCTTATGGTAATGGAACGTTTGCGTATCGCCTACCATATTGTTTTGTTAATAAGTGAAACATGTCTACACATTTTGCTGCTCATTCTAGTTTAAAAAGTTGCTTGTAAATATTTTTTTTCTGAATAAGCTTCTCCTATTTGACCATATAAGCACTTTCTCACGGTTGTTAAAGCCTCCAATAAGTGTAAATCAAGTCGCGACACGAGTTGAACAACCAAGTGCCTTCCAATCAATCCCCATTGCTTGGGGTTTTGAAGAGGTCCATTATTGCGGTTATCTGATGCCCACTAAGCACTGAGCCCCCCATTTGTCAAATTATTGTGGAAATTTATGATTTGCTGTCCATTCATGTTATAATATTTCATGCATTATGGTAGTGGTGGACCTTACATGTTGTTACTGATTTACAGATATTTTTTTCTAACGGTCTACCTACTACAGCACCTTCCTATTTGCTGTCACCGGCTGAAGATTACCGGTTATCATGCACAACCGAAAATACTGTGCATGATAGCCCAGATATAACCGAGCCCTAATCACTATCAACAATTGCTAATCAATTTTAGTTCCATTTATAATTGTTTTGTCCGTTTTTGAAAATATTGGCTTGCATTTTGAAAGTTTGTTCTAGGAGAGTGAAGTAAAATTGTTTTATTTGTTTGACATTTTCAATAATAATAATAATTAGAGTTCGGTTGCGTCCGATCTAGCCTATGAATTTGCAGACAATATCGTAATTTGTCAATCTAGTCAAGTTTGATAAAGTAGTTTTTTAGGACTAGGACTGAACAACGCATTAGTCTATGGTTGATCGCATTTTCTTCATCTCTTCAGGGCTCAGCTCGAGTCGATGGCGTGGGATCGGTGGGGCAGCCTCTCAGAGGCCGCCCGCCACCAGGTTGCGCCTCTGGCCGCGAGCGCCGCAATAACCGTCGGCGCGTGGGAGCGCGCGGCGCACTACACCCGGGCCTTCCCCCCGGCCGACCACGAGGGCGGCTTCTACCGGGCCATCCTAACGCTGCACGACGGCGACTACGCCAAGGCGCTCGACGAGGTCGCCAAATCACGATCCATCCTCGCATCCAATTTAACTCCGCTCACCAGCGAAGGATACCAACGCGCCTATCCGGTAGTTGCTGTTGAGCGCTTTTTTGTCCGCACGAGCTTCGATGCCTATCAACTGGTTATTGTCTTCACCCGTAGCTTTCATATTTATTGCGTGTGCCCGTGGTGTGATCTTCCTTGTGGCATTTCGGGCTATGACGCATGTTTTAAAAGGCGATTTGACCAAGTCTCTTTTCCGTGTCCTACTTAATTGCTTCAGTTTTTTCTGTCCACCAGGTCATGGTTTTTCGACTAATGTAAACTACTAAGCACAATCAGTGGCGTTGATTCCTAAGCTTGGCATCATTCCTAACATTGTTTGAACAGTTTCACTTTATCTCTCACCTAAGCATTACTACACACACACACACACGTGTCTGTAAGCTCTGTTAGATTTTTACCAAAATCGATTCGACGTTTGACGTGAAGCAGTTTAGTTGGCTCCATTGCTGCATGTGGTTTACGGTTATAAGTAGTGAGAAGCTTCATGGTTTCGTCCGCAGTCGAGGACAAGTGAAAGCAGGTAACATTAACTGCTAAGTTCCATATCGTTACTTTAGCAAATGACTCAAGTCAGCTTCTCAATATTGCATATGTGTCACATTGTCGATGGTATAGGTTATTTTATTGTGTTCCATTTTGTTTAGCTATTCTATATTTACTTTGGTATTTCATTGTTAATATTTTTCCCCAGGATCTTGTTGGTGCTCAGCTGCTTTCAGAGGTAGAAGAAGTGGTCCAGTATAAACTAGTTTCTGAGCGACGTCCAATCCTCCACGAGGCCTGGCACAACCGTCTCCTAGGCTGCCAATCGGTTGTCGAGGATTGGGGTCGAGTAATTCAACTCCGGAGACTTGTTCTTGATCCAAGGGAGAACATCAAGAGCTGCCTCCGTTACGCCGGTCTTTGTAGACGCTCCGGCCGGTTTGTAAGTGTTGTTCACACTTTATTAACTACAATAATCGCTTCTTACCTGTCCGCAAGGATTAACTTGTAACCGAAAGCCGATCTGCTGAATCCTAACCTCGAGGTTTTCTTTGTAATTCCTTTGTGTTTCTTTAAATCGTATTATTTCGGTCTTACTTCAAACCTAACGACTAACGGCCCAACAGGAGTCGGTGAGAGCGCAAGTATTTATCACAACTCTTGTTTCAGAAGATTCGAGACACGATTGCGTTCTTACTTGGCCACGCTTTGTGGTCTCCGTTTTTGCACTTAGAATGGACACTTTCTTTTTAGTACAATTATAAATGTTCCTAAGCGGTTTCATTCTTGGCAAGCATTTCGCTTTTACCTGAATATATAGTCTGGACTCAAAGGTTAATCAAAGATAGACGCCACTAATCAGTTGGAAATCCTTAATAGTATTGTTACTGTTCATCAGTAAAATTTCCATGAGTAAAATCGGTCATTTCTGATTTTGAAGTCAAGACAATTTTCCTCATTTCGTTTTCATTAATGCCCGTTTTTGCATTTATGCCCATCAGAGCCTCAGTTTGCAAGTGATTCTCAAAATGCTCTCTGAAAATCCAGCAGACGTGCCTTGGAATGAACCCGTACCCGCTCCCGACCCTGCCATTATTTTTTCCTACACCAAACTCCTCTGGGCGTCTGGCTCAAAGGAAGAGGCCGTAACCCGCCTGCGAGTGCTGCGCGACTGCGTCATTGAGCCGATGCTCCGAGTTCAGGACACGAAGCTAGAGGAGGCCGGCCAGGATGTCGGACAGCAACCCTCAGTCACCACAAAGAATGTGACTGAGATTGCAAACAGAATTGTCGAGCTTAGGAAGCTCATGTCCAAGTGTGTACCAGTGTGCATTTCTCGCCATTCTGTTCATGTGGCACCCCTTCCAAATTTAGCTTAAAATCAATAATAGGAACTGCCGCTTTGAAAAAGCGCTGAATGAACTGATCAAGCCCAGATCGATAAAGTGTAAAAGAACCTGGTTCTGTTTTTGGCTCCATGTTTTGTTGCACTAGAGACCTCGAGTGCTACCTGATGTGGCGTTGTATCCAAATCGCTTCTATTTAGTCAAATGTTCTCCATTTGCTTCATTGCAATGCTATAAATGGCAACACATTCCTCTCTTCTGTCTTCCTCATAGGTGTTGCCTTCGTTTGGGTAACTGGTACTCGGAACTCTACATTCGTTCATCCTCCGATCGCAGTGATGTCAACTCGAATTTACCCACATCCTCAGGAACTGGCTTCTTTTTGTCTACTGCAGATGGCAATAAGCCACATCAACCACATTTGGTTCATCCGCCTTCTACTGACTTGCAACAAAATGTTAGTTTGGTGTCTAAATCTCTTTTGTTTGAGAAATAAGGTTTAAGCCTCTGGCCTTTAATCATTGCCACCCTCAAGTCTTTACGTTTTCAGGGTAGCTACTACTGAGCATTTGTTTATCGTAGCTTTTTAGTTAGATGCTCTCTTTCTCTAGCTGATGCGTTGCTCGAATAACTGTCGGTACAAATGTGCCCTCTTGTTCAGTTATCTATAGTGTGTAAATTTGAAGAGGAATTATATAACCGTATGGAATTACTGCGAGAGATCTAGTTGTTGTTTTAAATTTTGCTATTGTTAATCCTTTATTTTCATACCAAAACCAGCTTCATCACAGCTATCTGAATAACAGATTTTAGGCCTGGAACAGGGGGCCGTCAATTTTTCTTCAATTAACGACGCTGAAGTTCTTAGAAATGTGAGAGCAGTAAGCAGCACAAGTTTGATGTCAGTTCGCCTGCGTGTAGTGCGACAGTGCAAAGCATCCCTCAAGATCTGACGGCATTTTGAGGGACAATGGTTTGTAATTGCGCAAATTAACCTGGTAGAAAGCGACGTAGCTATGGCCTTCAATTGTGATTTTGGAAGGCTAGTTTGCATTGAAGAACCTTCCACGGAATGCAAACAGTCTGCT